TAGACATAAAACCTCAAACTATGAGAATCTTAGAAAATGCAGGAGACACTCTATGGAAATTGGAACTGGCAACCAATTCCTATTCAGAACCCTAAATGCCCATACCTTAAGAAATAAGACAAGTCATCAAACTAACAAGCTTCTTCAAAGCAAAATAAACTATCAAGAGAGCAGGGAGTCAGGCCACAGAATGGGAAAAAATATTTGTCAACTGTATATCTGACAAAGGCCTAACATCTAGTATCTACAAGGAACTCAAAGTGCCGAAAGGAAAAAAACAAACAGCCCCATTAAAAAGTGGGCAGCTGGGCTCGGTGGCTCAGCCTGTAATCCCGCGCCTTTGGGAGGCTGAGGTGAGTGGATTGCCTGAGCCCGTGGGTTCGAGACCCGCCTGGGCAGCGAGACCTCATCTCTACAATAAATCAAAAAATCAACTGGGCGTGGTAGCGCCTGCCTGTAGTTCCGGCTACTTGGAAGGCGGAGGCGGAAGGATCGCCGGAGCCCAGCAGGTCGAGGCTGCGGTGGCTGGGAGCGGCCACTGCACTCCAGTCTGGGCGACGGAGTGAGACTCCAACTCAAAAAAAAAAAAAAAAAAAGTGGACAAAAGACATGTATAGACATTTCTCAAAAGAAGATATACATGTAGCCAACAGACACATGAAAAAGTGCTCAACTTCATCCATCATCAGAGAAATGCAAATCAAAACCACACTGAGATATCACCTAACCCCAGTAAGAATGGCCATCATTAGTAAAATAAACAACAACAGATGCTGGCAAGGGAGCAGAGAAAAAGGAAAGCTTCTACACTGCTGGTGGAAACACAAACTAGTGTAACCTCTTTGGAAGACAATGTGGCGATTTCTGAAAGAACTAGAAATTGACCTTCCATATGACTCAGCAATTCCCCTAAAGGGAATATGCCTAGAGGAACTCAGATCATTCTACAAAAAAGATACTTGCACACATATGTTTGTTGCAGCTCTAGTCACAATAGCAAAAACATGGAATCAAACATGCTGCCCATCGAAGCTGGACTGGATAAAAAAAAATGTGGCACATATACACAATGAAATATTATGCAGCCATAAAGAGGGACATATGGACGTATGGACTTTACAGCAACTTGGATGAATTTAGAGTCGATCATACTCAGTGATCTATCACAGAAACAAAGAACAGAGTACCATCTATTCTCATTCATAAGCGGAACTTGAACAATTATAATACTATGAGAAAGATATTGGCAGTAGTGGGAAACTGCCAAGGGAGGGGCGTGGGATTGGCAGGTGAGGGAAACTGCCAGGGGAGCGAGGGGCACACCTCATCAACAAGGGTGCCTGCATAATCAACGTTTGTATACCTAACCCTGAATTGTGCCCCACATCTCTATAATTAAAAATAAAAAGAGCATTAAAAAAAAAGAATCTGGTATGGTAAATTTCTGTACTATAGTAGAGTGACTGGTTATTTGAGAAAAGGTAAGCATAGGACAAAATAGAAGGTTCAAGCATGTTGTCAATTCTGTGTTAAGTTCATGGAAAGGAATGCATGAAAGAAATTCTGTAAATAATCAGATTTGCTAAAGAAACTTATTTAGTAATTTCTAGGAATTAATCATTAATGTCAAAATCACACCCTTTATAAAATAATCAACCAAAAATGGAGTAAATAATTCAATGTAAGACCTGAATCTGCAAAACTACTAGAAAAATGAGGAAAATATCTATGACATTGGTCTGGGTAGTGATTTCTTGGAATGCAAAGCAAAAATAGACAAATAAGATTTTATCAACCATAACACTTCGCAGTGAAGAAATCAATAATTAGAGTTGAGGGACAACCCATAGATTGGAAGAAAATATTTGCAAATCATGAATTAGATAACTGGTTAATACTCAAAATATATAAAGAATTCAAACTACTTCACAACAACAGAAAAACCCCTATTTAAAATGGACAAAAGACTTGAATAAACATTCTTCTAAAGAAGACATACAAATGGACAACAGATATATGGAAAAGTGTTCAACATCTTTAAACATCAGAGAAATGCAAATTAAAACCACAGCAAGTTATCGTTCTACTCTTGTTAGATTGGTTATTATCTAAAGGTCATTTTAAAGTCAGTATTCTAGCCTCTCAGCTCCGGATTTCAACTCAGCAGCATTTCAAGGGTAAAATTGCATAAAATGTCAGATTTTGCAATATGGATTATTCAAAGTCTCTTATACTAAATCCAAAATTCTTACAACGTCTATCTCTTTTCAATTCTGACAAATTTGTATTTACATGTGTGTGAGAAAAGGATGAGTTTCTGAGACAGCAACAGAGAAACAGATATAGACAAAGGTATGCAGTAGACGATATTTCTAGAAATTTCAGTCTGTTCAAAGAAATCCTTCCTTTTTCCCCCAGTGGTTAAATACATACATACACACACAACCAAAAACACAGACATACAGACATATTAAGACAATGAAGAGAGAAATATGTATATGTGGCTATACTTGAACTCACACACAAAGAAAAATATGTGTGTGTGTGTATAATATAGCTAAAATTTGGAGGTGTCATTCGCATAATAAGATATTATAGATATTTTTATGAGTAGTATAAATAAATGTGCTTGATATTCTGTTGCATGTTTATTCCATAATATTCAGAATTAATTTTTCTATTCAAGGGTGTTTAGATTATTTTTGAACTTTCATTTGTACAATAAGTCCCTTACATGCAAAGCTTTAAGTTGTGACTTTTCAAAGACACAAACATGCATTTCCATGTCCAATCACGTAAGTTAAGTCATGCGTCTGTTATATATTGTCACGTGCTTACATCCTTTACAAAACTTGTGCTTTTGTATGAGATCCAACAAAAAGTTCATGAACTCATTCTAGAAAAAGTGAAAAGAAATATTATTTGCACATAAGATTTTCTACTTGAAAAAAATCCATAAAAGGCAACTAAAAATTACTAAATTACTCCAACATTTAAATCCTTCACATTTACAAGAATTTGGACAAATAGTTTTACTGTGATGCTCATACTAGAAAAGTAAGCATATATAATTTTTAGTACACTATGTAACAGAATCTATAAATGAACATTATGATATAACCATTCTACATCTAGAAAACCATGTGAAAAAATAGTACATAAATAATATAAGATATATGGGGTCTAACAATTAGGTTTGTGAACCATCCTAGGAAAGGTGCTACATACCTTATTGCTGAACACCACTATGGTCACGTTTGAGACCTTGTTTCTACAATAAATAAAAAATTAGCTGGACGTGGTAGCGCATACCTGTGATTCCAGCTACTTGGAAGGCTGAGGCAGAAGGATAGCCTGAGCTCTGCAGGTTGAGGCTGTGGTGGCCGTGAGTATGCCACTGTACTCCAGCCTGGGTGACAGAGTGAGACTCTGAATCAAAAAAAAAAAAAAAAAAAAGAAAAGACAGAAAGAAATACTCCCCTGGGAAGCTATACATCAAAGCAATTTTGGAACTCTTTTTCTGGAATGGCTATCAGAGCTGTCATCTTTATTTGTTGAGGACTGACAATTAAGTTTGCAAACTTGCCACTGTGCACTTACGTTGACAGCGCTGTACAAATAACTGTATTGGAACACCCTCCATACTCATCTGGCCCTCATGACTTTTTTCTTTACCTAAAGATAAAAGAAATGTTGAAAGGAAGATGTTTGATGACATTCAGGACATCAGTGTAATACAGCTACAGCTTTGGTGGCCGTTACAGAAAAAGAGTTTTAAAATTGCTTTGACAGTGGACAAAGTGCTGGCATTGATGCATAGTTTCCCAAGGGGAGTACTTTGAAGGTGACCATAGTGATATTCAGCAATAAGGTATGAAGCACTTTTTCTAGGATGAGTTCATGATCTTAATTGTTAGACCTCATACAAAAGCACAAGTATTATAGAGGATGTAAGCACATGACAATGTATAACAGACACATGACCTAACTTACATGATTGGACATGGAAATGTATGTTTGCGTCTTTGAAAAGTCACAATTTGAAGCTTTGTGTGTAAGGGACTTACTGTACAAATGAAAGTTCAAAAATAATCTAAACACCCTTGAATAGGAAAATACATTCTGAATATTGTGGAATAGTCATGCAATAGAATATCAAGTACATTTATTTATACTGCTTGTAAAAATATCTATAATGTCTTATGTAAATGGCACCTCCAAATTTTAGCTATATTATACACACACATATTTTTCTTTGTGTGTGTGGTCAGGAATTGCCACATATACATATTTCTCTCTTCATTGTCTTAATATGTCTATACCTGTGTTTTTGATTGTGTGTGTATGTATGTGTTTAACCACTGAGGGTAAATGAAGGACATTTCTGAATAGACTGGCTAATTCAAGTGTTATCTTATGTTCTTCCTCTGGCTGGAATGATCTTCCCTTGTAGGCTACCTGAATATATGTACATATACATACATACATAAACATACACATCACAGATATATATGCATACACATAATTATATTTCAATAGCTATTGGAGAAAGACAGAAAATATACATGTCAAATTGTCAAGCCCTCATTCCTCTGGAGAGTTAGATGAGAGTGACAGGTGAGTGAATTTCATAGTTTATTTTAATATTTTTTTAATATTGTGGAATAATTTCTGATTTCTAATTTGTAGTAAAGCAAAATGTGACATTATAGTGAGCTTTCCATTTGGCATACACTGCAGATGAGATGTAGCTTACGATCTCAGGATTGTGCTACACAAAGGATTTTATTGAAGATGAAGCATTGAACTTTCTTTCATGGAGGCAAATTCTAACTGGATCTTGAAGGATGGAGAAAATGAGAGGAAATGGAGCCTTGGGATGGCATTCCTGCTGTGAAGAAACCAGTGATGATGGTGGCTGATGCACAGGAAAGAAAGCACCTGGCTTTTTGACATGAGGCTGGAGGGTCTGCTCTGGAGTCTGGCTGCCTGGTCTTTCTTCAGACTGGAATGAAACAGAGCTCATAGAAGGGTGGTGTAGAGCCTAGCCCCTTGATAGATGGGGTGATGTCAATGTCCTTTGGATCAACCAGAGGTTTCAAGGTAAACTTCTGTAAAATGGTGGTTAGGATTAAAAACAGCTCCATGCGAGCCAGGCCCTCTCCAGCACAAACTCTTCTCCCTAAAAAAACACATGAATTCATTATTAATTTAATTATATTTCTGAGTTAGAACACAGAGAAGCTTAAATAAATATGGAATGAAGAAATATATTAACAAGTGACTAAATAGCCTATGTCTTCTCTTTACACCCAAACCTGGATTACTTCATTTTCTCAGCACATATTTCTGTATGTATACCCTACAAAAAAAACCCTCTATATTCATGAGACAAGATAATTGACTGGGAAAAGACCCCTCCCTATTTTTTCCAGTACTTGCCTTTTCAAGTGGCTTCCACTTTGCCCTGAAAACAGAAACATTTCCTTTCCATAAATAAGACAACCAGCAACAAAAGTCCAAAAGCTTTTAAATTTGAAGTTCTTCTTTTCAGGGGGCTAGAGCCTTTCCCCAAGGCCCACATGTACATCAACAATTTTAACTTGTCCTAAATAAACCTTTGCTTCATTATAATAAGAAAAATCATGACTCTGAGTAGAGATTTAAGATGTTAATAAAACATGCAACACATATAAAAATATGACACAAAATTATGCAAGCAAGACAGGGGATTAAGATCACAACTAGCTGGGCTCGGTGGCTCAGCCTGTAATCCCGCGCCTTTGGGAGGCTGAGGTGGGTGGATTGCCTGAGCCCACGGGTTTGAGACCCACCTGGGCAGGCGAGACCTCATCTCTACAATAAATCAAAAATCAGCTGGGCGTGGTAGCGCATGTCTGTAATTCCCACTATTCGGAAGGCTGAGGTGGAAGGATCGCTGGAGCCCAGCAGGTCAAGGCTGCAGTGGCCAGGAGCGGCCACTACACTCCAGTCTGGGCGACAGAGTGAGACTCCAACTCAAAAAAAAAAATCACAACTAAAGGCAGTAGAGGGAGTTTCTCCTATGGACTAAATCAAGGCAGAGAGAGTTTTCTTGGCATCTGGAAAGGAGAAGGACCAGCAACACACCCCATGAATCACCAAAGAAGAAATGAAGGTCAGGCTATAACCATATAGTTCAAAGAGGAATAGCCACGTGGTGCAAAAAGGATAAGAATCAGTTGACCTGAGTTGGAACTGGTCACACTCTCACCTGGTCCTGACACAAATCATAAGAAACCTCAAGGCACATGGGGGAAGGTGAGTGAGAAGAATTGAGGAATTCTGTAATTCAATCCTGCCACATATTGGGAGGGACTTTAAGTCTTGCAGGACTCTAGTCCTTCATAGTAAGCTGCCTTACCCCAAACCCAGCCCTGCCAAAACCCACATGGAGTGGTGTAAGAAAAAAAAAAAAGCCCTGACCAGTTCTGGCTACCATGTCCAGTAACTTGACCCCTTTTGGTTGCTACTTTTTAGCCAGCTGGGAGGTGACAGATTTCAAAGGCAAACTCCATGGTGGCAGACAATTCATGGCTGGAGCAGGCTATTTCAAGAAAACCTTGAGGCCCTGAAGCCAGCTGACAATTGGAGTGAAGACTGCCTGAGTTTAATATAGGAGAGTGGATGGGATTCATTGCTATAGCAAACTCTCACTTCCAAGGTAAACTCATTCATGCAGCCTCTGCATAAAAGCATTACCCCAGTAGCCTGGAATTCCCTCCCAGTTTCCATTAGGGTAGCTAAGAGTGCAGACAGACAGGTAGCTTGAGCTTTATCCCCCTACACTCTACTCAGAGGCTTAAAATATACAGAGAATTTGGATAACCCCCACAACCCCATCTACTGCCTAGGCAGACTGGACACTTCCTTGGAACAGCACAAGCCAAGAAGAAGGCCAAAGACTCAATCACTGCTGGCTCTCTCCTACAATGCCACCACCTTGTTGGAGATCAACAGTACAACCCATCACTTATAATACCTCAGCTTGAGGTACATGAGTATCCAGCACAAGCCCACCACAAGCTGGCAATTGAGAAATGCACCACACCAAGGCTGTATATATAACCACAGGAATCCTACAATGCCTGGATCAGCTCCCTGCCAACCTCAAATAAAAATAGTCTACCCAAATGAGAAGGAGCCAGAAAAATAATTCTGACAATATGAAATAAGAGGGTTCTTTAATATCCCTTAAAAGAACACACTAACTCTTCAGCTATTGACCCTAACTGAAGTGAAATCTTTGAAATTCCTGAGATAGAATTCAAAAGATTGATTATAAAATTGCTCAATGAGATTCAGATGAAAGTTAAAAACAAACAAAAGAAATTAAAAAAAACGAGAACATGAATGAAAAATTTCAGAGAGATAGAAACATTAAAAAAAGCTGAAATTCTGGAAATTACAGAATCATTTAGGAAAGTACAAAATGCACTGGAAAGTTTTAACAGGAGACTACAGTTAGTAGAACAAAGGATCTCAGAATATGAAGACAAGGCTTTCAAATTAACTCAGTCAAAAAACAATAAAAGAAAAGAATCAAAAGAATGGAACAAAATCTCCAAGAAATGGGTGATTATGTAAAGCATCCAAACCTGAGAATCATTGATGTTCCTAAAAAGAAAAAAAGAAAAGAAAACAACAGATTTGGAAAACAACAGATTTTTCCCTATTGAGGAAAAATGGAGGAAAAATTTTCTGGCATTGCCAGAGATTTAAACATCCAGGTAAAAGGAGCCCAGATACAATAGCAGCTAAAAAGTTAAAATACATAGAAGTGTTTTTAACCAAGGAGGTGAAAGATTTCTGTAAGGAGAACTACATAACACTGATGAAAGAAATTGTAGAGAGAACACGAACAAACGGAGAACCATCCCATGTTCATGCATTGGAAGAATCAACATTGTTAAAATGATCATGTCACCCAAAGTAATCTACACATCCAATGCAATCTCTATCAAACAACTAACATAATTTTTCACAAGATTGGAAAAAATAATCCTAAAATTCATATGGAGCCAAATAAGAACCAGAATAGCTAAGCAAAAAGAATAAAGCTGAAGACATCACATTACCTGACTTTAAATCATACTACCAGGCTGCAGTAACCAAAACAGCATAGTACTGGTACAATAGCAAACATGTGGACTAATAGAACAGAATAGAGAATCCAGAAGTAAACCTGAATACCTACAACCAACTGATCTTTGACAAAGCAGCCAAAAACATAGAAAAGGGCAAAGATACACTATTCAGCAAATAGTGCTGGGAGAATTGAATAGCTACATGCAGAAAAATAAAACTTGACTCCTATCTCTCACAAAAATTTAATACAAAAATTAACTCAAAATGAATTAAAGACTTAAAAGTCAGACCTGAAACTGCAAAACATCTTGGAAGAAAACCTAGAAAAAACTCTTTTGGACATTGGTCTAGGTAAATAATTTATGGCTAAAGCCCCAAAACAAATGCAAGAAAAACAAAATAAGTAAGTGGGATTTAAACTAAAAAGCTTAGGCACAGCAAAATAAATAATCAACAGAACAAATAGGCAACTTAAATAATTGGAGAAGATATTTGCAAACTATACATATGACAAAGGGCATTCATGGAGAATCTACAAGCAACTTAAACAAATCTGCAAGAAAAAAGCAAATGACCCTATTACAAAGTGGACAAATGAGAACAGATATCTCTCAAAAGAAGATATATAAATGGCCAATAAACATATGGACAAATACTCAATATCACTAATCTTCAGGGAAATGCAAATTAAGAGTACAAAGAGATACCACCTTATATCAGTCAGAATGGCCATAACTAAAAAATTAAAAAACAATATTTGTTGTTGCACATATGGTGAAAAGGAAGTGCTCATACACTGTTAGAATTAGTAAAACCTTGGTGAAAATTGGCATGGTGATTTCTCAAAGACTTAAAAGTAGATTTACCATTTACCATCAATCCCATTGCAAGGTATTTATTCACCCAGTGGAACAGAAGTTGTTATATTAAGAAGACATCTACACTCACATGTTCATTGCAGCACAATTTGCAATGAGAAAGTTGAGGAATCAACCTAAATGTCCATCAACTGATCAGTGGGTGATGAAAATGTGATGTATATATACACTACGGAATAGTATTCAGACATCAAAAAGAGTGAAATAATGTGTTTTGCAACAACTTTGGTAGAATTGGAAGCCATTATCTTAAGTGAGCTAACACAGGGACAGAAAACCAAATACCGCATGTTCTCATTTATAAGTGAGAGCTAAGCTAAGGGTCTGCAAAGACATAGAGAATGGTATGATGGATATTGGAGACTCAAAGAGGGGAGACGGAAAAGGGATGGAAGGATGAAAACCCACCTATCAGGTACAATATACACACGTAGGCAGGGTGGGTACACTTAAAGTCCAGACTTTTTTGTCACTACACAATGCAACCATGTGACCAAAAATTATTTGTACCCACAACATCTATGGAAATTAAAAAAAAATATTCTACACATATACTAAAATGAACACACAGGCTCAAACAAAATGATGGGACCAGCAAGTGTTGACTATAGTACATTTATTATAAACTAAACAATATACATGTTTTGCTTAGAATAAAAAAAAATATGCAAGGTGCGACCCACAGATCACTCCGAACATGTGATAATACCACCTAAAATAAAACCAGGGAAAGATAAAAACCCAAGATAACTTGCTTTCTGAGTGCTTGCAAAGACTTCTTTCTATTGTTATCTTCCTTACTACTCAAACTGGAAGGCCCAATAAACAGACTTAAGTATGTCAGACCCTTGGTTCATTTCTACTTACTGAGGGCCAAGGTTCCATGCTGGTAACATGAGCATATTGGAATTGCTGTTCTGAGACTTGCTAGTGACATTTTTCTACACACACACACGCACACACACACACACACGCACACACACACACACACACACACACACACACACCCCATCACAACTGGCATGACACATAACACAACTGCATCTTCTCCATCTATTTCTGATCCAGTACTCAACAATACATCTATTTCTTCTCATCTAGATTCTAAAGGATACTTATAACTTTGTCACAAATGAACCTAAAAATTTCAAGAGATTGGCAACCCCCTCAGGTCCCCTCCCACTGTGGGAGTTTTTCTGTCTTCTCAATCTTGCTTTCAAAAAAAATTTTTTTCAAGAGATTATCATTGTTAGGTGTAAAAAGAAATGTCACATATGGGCCATAAGCTATTCTTTGAACCTCATTTCTTTTTATTCCTTCTACCCAGGTCTCCAAAGCTCAGCCACTACTCACTAGTCACCACTTCCCAGGCAGATTGGCAATTTCAGTTTTATCTCAGATCCTAGGTATTCTTCTGTCTGGAATGGCTTCCCATCTGCTCTGTGTACTCACACTCTCCTTATCCTTCCAGATTCAGCTCAGACATCATTTATTCTATGGAGACCACTTTGACATGCTCAGGGTATATGATGAACTATATTGGGACAATCTCTTCAGGTCCTTTCCCACTGTGAGAGCTTTCCTGTCCTCTCAATAAATCCTGCTTTCTCAAGAAAAAAAAAAAAGAACTGTATTATCTGTTTTTAACAACACTCATTCATGCTTCTAATGCAGTATATGAAATTTAAATTATTCATCTCACAGGCTAAAATATAAACTCTTAAATAAGCCCTGTTATAACACTGACAGAGTCAGGACATGAAGCTGGCCTGCAAGCCATGTGAAATGATAGAAATCTTGAGCAGGCCCATTATGAATAGTTTATTTCAAAATATAAGAAGGAAGATAAGGAGTGGTATAGCAATGGCTTCTTTTGCAGTCATCCCTGGGCACTGGGTACCATCTTGGTGCTACAGTACCAAGAGTCCTTTGATGATTATTTCTTAGATATTCAAACAAGAACAAATCTCTTACTTATATCTCTGTTTCAGTAATCTCTGGGGAAAAGGTATTTACACTCTTAACTTCCTCCTTCTTCTTTTTTGGAGTGTGCTTAATATTCTCCATTTCTTCCTCTTTCCAAATCCAGACTGTATTTGTCTCTTATGTCTTTTCCAGGACACTGACTTATATGAACTGTATTCGTTCCTTTCTGGCCTCTGAGTACATTCAGAAGTTGAGATATTGAAATAGTAAGAGTATTTGTCTATCTCCCCCATTCCAGGCCCCAGTTTTGGCAGAGACTATATTCCTCTACATATAGACGCTTCTGCTGCTGAGACATCTACTCCCTCCTGGCTAAAGATTTCTTCAGGTTCTAGCAGTATCCTCCTTCACCTGTTTTTAAATTTTTTTAACCTAGGATGGTAACAGCTTCCTGATGATGTTAGTCCTGAGTATTTTAACTGCACTTTTTTCCTGCCCTTGTCCTTCTCACTCCTCTGAAAAAAGTCTCTTCATTAAACCCTTTAATCAAACTTTTTGTGTGTGGCAACTGTTTCTTTCTAGGACCCTTAGAAATAGAGAGAACATACTCAAATGTTACTTTTTTCAAAAAAATTTCTTTTACCGTCCCACTACTCTGCCCCTGCACCCCCAAAAGGGCCGCAGTCGGGGGCTCTTCTCTCTGGGTTTCCACAGAAGCCTCACACATAGCGTTTGTCACACAAGAGTCTCATTGTCAGTGGATTTCCCTGCCTCTCTCTTAGAGGGAAGATCTATTTCTTATTTGCAGGTGTTTGCCTAGATCAGAGAATGGGATTATTACTTGTTTTTTATATATTTATTTAATTTTTTTGGGTTGGAGTCTCACTCTGCCGTCCGGACTAGAGTGCAGTGGCATGCTCATGGCCACCACAGCCTCGACCTCCTGGGCTCCGGCGATCCTTCCCCCTCAGTCTTCGAAGTAGCTAGAACTACAGGTGCACACTACCACGCCTGGCTAATCTTTTAAATTTATTTATCATAGAGGCGAGGTCTCACCACATTGCCCAGGCTGGTCTCGAACCCTCAGGCTCAGGCAATCCTCTAGCCTCAGGCTCCCAAAGTGTGGTGATGACAGGCTTGAGCCACTACGCCCGGCCAGGATTGTTACTTGTAAGGTGCTCAGAGGAGTTTATTGAGTGAGCTGGCTTCTCATGGTAAATGAAAACAATCTTACTAGCACTGGACTTTTAGAAAATAGAAGAAGCCCATGAGGATCTTTATGGTGAATGAGAAAGCAGAACCAATGAATGTAGCCTCCTTTGAAATGAGAAACGATATTGACATTGGGAGTGGTACCTCTGGCCTCTTACAAGAGGCAATTTGTCCAGCCCAGAGTAGCCTCCATGCAAAGACTTTCCTTATTTCACTTAACCCCTGATATAAATATAAAAAGAAATCTTGCTTGCCTGCTGAAAAAGGCATGAAGTAGTCGCTCTTCTTAAAGTTGCCCCTTTCATCCAGGAAGTGGCCAGGGTCAAACTTCTTTGGGTTGGGGAACTCTTTGTCATCATGCAGGACAGAAGTCAGATGTGTTAATATGGTTGTGCCCTGATAGAAAGAGAAATACATAAACCAGATTATAAAGGAGTTCATAGAGCTTGAAAAAAAATAGAAATCTCTTCTCTTATCCTATTTTTTTATGGATGAAGAAACTGAGGCCAAAAAGGGAACTTATTTGCGCTATGTCACAGAACAAATTAACAACCAAGCCTAGCAGTTCTTAAATCAATTAAGGCCTAGTCCAGAGCACTGTTCACTGATGCAGACATCCTCAACAGCATGTAGTCTGACACCAGCACTTTGCAAAAAATCACGAGAGCTCCCTGGAGCACATTGCTTTCAACAACTAAATTGCAAAATTGTCTAGCAGTTCCAATGTCACTAAAAATTTAGCTCACTGCCTTTGGAACCAAGTAGAAGGACTTCTTCAAAACTCCTCTTTCCTTATTCTTGACAAACCTTCCATTTCCCACGGAGATGAGAAACTCATAAATATTGTTTTTCCTCCTATGTTCTTTCAATTGCATTTTCGCATATTCTTATGGAAAGGAGGGTGCATTTCCTATTTCTAGTATATTTTTCTTAAACTCAGAGACATAATGTAAGAATCAGTTAGAGTTTAGTTTTTAGAATCAGTCAAATCTTTCTCTCCAACAAATTAAGATTTATGACCATAGGCAAGTTGGTTAACATTTCAATGCCTCATTTTCTTCCCTAGTAAAATGTAAACAACACATGTGCATTCATTTATTATAAATACAAAATTAGTATATTAAATGTGTTTTACACAAAGACTACCACATGTTAAAATGCTCAAAACAGGCAGGTTTTGTAACTGTTACAATGATAGTATTCAATTTACAATACTTTGAGATCTTAATAAAGACAAATTTCAAATTCAGATCTGTGTAAATGCTTTCTGATATATTGTATGGCCTCTCCTAACATGTGATGTAGTTGGATTTTATTACACAAAATCCATACTTCAACTGCAGAAATCTATCACATCCATGTGAACAGATGAAAGGGCAACTAAAGTTTCAGTCACTCCAGGTCTTTCTTCCTTGTAGCACAGCTACTCTTGTAATTCATTTCCTCACCTGAGTGAACACATGTCATGTACTGAGGTTAAAGTTTGGGAAGCTAGTATAGTCAGTCCCAAATAAACTTCCATATAAAGTTACTTTGGAACAAAACACTTCTCCTGATTGTTGGACCACCTGCTTCTTGCTAGGACAGAGAAACTACTTTGCCACTGCCTTCACAATTAATTAAATATAAAACTGGAAAAATACTATGAAGTAACTCTTTTCCATCATTAAAAAAAAGAAGAAATCCAGGATTACGATCCTTGATGGAAGATAAATTCGGCCTGCGATCACTATGGATTTCTGCTTGAGAACAATTTCCTCCCACAGGGCAGACCAGTGAGTGCCAAGCAAAGAGCTGTTGTTTTTGGACTAGAGAGACAGAGATTAAAATCTGGCATCTAGAATTTGTAATTGAAGCTGCAGGACATGAGGAAATTACAAATAAAAAGGATCCAAAAAATGTACACGCCTACTCTGTTAAGCCCATGGCTGTGGTTTGGGTGGAACTTCATGTACAGAGGAAAGCTCCATGAAGCTTATGAGAGAATGACTGCTGAAGAGTCAAGAACTGAAATAAATAGGAGGGGCTAAAGTCCCAACCCAACCAGGACAGGGCGAAATTTCTTGGCACCCGAAATATTCGGGGTGAAACCCAAATTTCAAGCTGTTGGACTAAAGAACCCACCTGGACTAAAGGGCCATGCCCATTGACCAAATTTAAAATTGTGATTAAGTCACAGTGACAAGTAATTTTAGAAATTTTAGTATAATAGAATGAATAGATTTGCCACCAATTTAACTGCCTGATAAAATAAAAACCAGCCCTCATTCAAAGGAGGTGGCCTAAGCAGACTCCCTTCAAGGCATATTTCAAAATACTCAGTGTACAATGACAAGTTACTAAAAAGAAGGGACTGTGATCTGTAATTAAAGAAAAAGACAATCAACAGAAAAATGCCCACGAAATCCTAGGTGGTAGAATCACTGCAAAAAGACTTCAAGGTAGATCTTGTGAATATATCTAAATATTGAAAGGAGCAATTATAAGGGAATATATGGGAAATGTCAATATAAAGGCAGATGTGAATATATGCCAACTACTATACAAAAGATGATAAGGGAATAGATGTGTAAAATCAGTAGATAAAATGAAAACTGTACAAATAGAAGCTCTTGAACTGAAAAGAGCAGAAATGAACATTTTGTGGAGGGATGAATAGCACTGGAGTGGTTTTGGATCATAGAAGACATCTGGAAAAAGGGAATGGTACTGGGGGAATTTCCATGTTCATGAACTTATTTTGAGGGCAGGCACAGGTAGCAAAATATTGGGTGACTAAAACTTGCCTACAAACCACCAGTCTTTCTTGCTTAAGGAACCAGTGACAACATTCAGTTACAACACCCATAAAGAAGCTGAAAAGAGAAGGAATAAAACCTAGGAAGAAAACAGAGAGGAAAAGTCATAAATTCTCCATATGAACTCTTCCAAATATCTGGCAGTACTTGAATTAGACATGTGTGTGCCAAACCCCAAATAAATCAACTAAAGTTAAAAGAACTGAACTGAAAATTCTGAGTTTTGAGTATGACTCAGAAAATACAGAGGAGGAAAACATTTCATAAAGCATTTTATAAAGTCAGTGTGATTGATACTAATATCAAACCTGAAAAAGATGTTATAAAAAAGTTGCTACAGACCAAAGAAGTAATAAAGGACATTTTTACACAGACAGAACAGAATCTCAACTATTTTATTTCCTGAAAACCTAGAATTCAACATATGCTAACCAAAGTTCTATAGAAGAAAAAAATACAGAATAAATAACTAAAGATATAGGAGTGAAACCGGAAGGCTATCACTTCACTGATGTAAGAAGTGAGTGAATCCTAATGGAAGACATCATTATGAGTGATGCCATGATGAAGCAAAGTAAAATTCAACCTGGAAAGGATTTAATGAATTTAAAATGATAGATGTCCTCAAGAGTTGAAAATAGTGTCACCGGAATGGAAGATATTTATCGATGGGTCGTTGAATAAAATATTGATTAGAAATGTTTACATGACTGTAATGAAACTCTTCTAGGACTTTGAATGTGAGATTTTGGATGAGATAAGCTTTGGAAGATGGGGGTGAGAACTTCGGTATAGATTTTTTTTTTTAACATGTAAGACAATTGAAGAGGAAAAGCATAAGATGGCTAAATAGAATTAATTGATCATCTCCTAACAGAAGCATCAATTTGAACAATTATCCAGGCCTGAACGTACGTGTACAAGGGCTAAGGAAACCAAGTGAGAGATCATAGTACCTGGCATAAAGATAAGAAAATGCATTGAAGAGGATGTGGAAGGATGGAGATACATTGCTCACTCTCTCCCTCCCCCAACTCCATGCAGCACACCACAGAAAGAGACAAAGCCTGCTTGGGAAGAAAAAGAGAAGTGCATGCAGGACATTGATGTGGAGACCAGTGCCAAGCCCACTGCAGTAAAACTCAATACCAAGCAGAAACCCATGGTCTCTGACCATTGCCTGGGGTCAAAACCTGCAGATAGAGTATCTGAATTACCCCAGCTCTTGGTGAAAACCTGTTGTCCCAGTGGGACAGTCTCATGTTTTAGCCTGCACTTCTGTCGGTCATTAGAGTGGCCTCTTGCTACAGGTGGTAGGCAGGCCATAGCAAGATGGTCCTTGGCTGCACCAGTCCCAGCTTCCATGAGCTTCAAATGCAACCCACCTTAACATCAGCCTTCATAGCAAAAAGACTACTCTCACCACATCTCCCCTAATCTTGAACAGTATATCATGGAAAGTGACTCTATCCACTGGGTGGGCGGGGTGGGAGGGGCAGGTAAGTAAGTATAAAATTTTGTCTGAAACTCAACATTGAGCCCACTGTGGTGAAAACACAACCAGACAAATTCTGACAGAGTCATTGGATCTGCCCAGGAACAGGCAGAAACCCATGGGCCCTGGTAGGATGAACTTGTGTCCTAGTCTGCATCCCTATTGGGTGTTAGCTGCAGCCTTGAGCCTTGAATAAACCTTAACAACAGGAAGACGATGGCAGTGTGAGACTTGGGTGTACCCCTCAGCCCAATTGGTCTTGGCAGCTTTGAATTTTGGATGTGATTCAGCATTACAGCAGGTGTGGTGGCCAAGGGGTTGCCTAAACCATCCTTCCCCACAAGCCCAAACAACACAGTGCACAGTCCACTCGGGAGAACAAGAGGAAAGTAGACACAAGATGTTGCCTTGGAACCCAGTGCTGGGCTGTAAAGGTGAGGCCCAGAGTCTGGCAGGGCCCCACAGTTCATGACTTCTGGCTAGTGACCAGATTGGAGCATTGGGACCCACAACATCCCCCAAAAGAGCTTAAGTTTCCTTCTAGTTCTGAAAAAGTGGCAACACATGGAGAACAAATTACTGGCACATCTGTGCAGAGGGTACCAGCAGCAGTAACCACAGGCTCAGAGAACATAATAACTGAGCTTTTAGAATCTCTGGATAGCAGACAGAAAACAAAGCTAAACCACAATGACTGGGATAAATACATCGTCCTTAGATGCACAAATGTCCTTGCGTGCTCACAAGTACCAAGAACATTAAGGGAACCATGACCCCAGCAAATGGAAAAAATAGGCACCAGAGACCAACCCTAAGCGGAGATATGTTATCTTTTTGAAAGAAAATTCAAAATAACTGTTTCAAGGAGACCAAGAAAAATTCAAGAACATACAGAAAAGTTATTCGATTATTTATCCAAGAAACTTAACAGATATATTGAAATAATTTAAAAAAATCAAACAGAAATTTTCAAGCCAAAAAAGTACAGTGAACCAAATGAAAAACACAATAAAAGGCATCAACAGCAGAAGTGATCAAGCAGAAGAAAGAATTAGTGACCTTGAAGACAGGCCATTTGAAAATACACCATCAGAGTGTTATTAAAAAGCAGAGAAAGAAAGAAGAAAGTCTATAGGAACTATGTAATACCATCAAAAGAGCAAATATTCAGTTTACTAGGGTTCAAGAGAGATTTGAGATGCCAAAGGAGTAGAATTCAGAGATAATAACAGAAATCTTCTCAAACCTGGGGAAAGATACAAATATTCAGGTACAGGAAGATCAGAAGTCACCAGTCAGATTTACTGCAAATAAGTTCATTCTAAGACATATTACAAACAGGCTATCAAAGGTGAAAGAGAAAGGGAGGAATCTGAAATCAGTCTGAGTAAAGAAGTAAATAACACAAACAGGGTTTCCAATCCTCCTAACAGCAGACTTCTCACAAAAAAGTTTACAGGCCAGAAAGTAATTGGCTGATATTCAAAGAATTAAAAAAAAAACAACAACGAAAAAAAACCCCCAAAACCCTACTGACCAAAAATAATGTACCAAGCAAAACTGTCTTTCAGAAATAGGAGAAATCAATACTTTTCCAAACAAAAGGAAAGAGAATTTATCATCAGATAGGTCTATTAATGATTGTTAAAAATAATTCTTCAAATTGAAAGAAAGTGATGCTAAAGTATAACAAAAAACATCTGAACATAAAAAACTCTTGTATGAGTAGGTATACAAACACAGAATACTCTAAGACCAGAAATGCAGTATGTGAATCACTTATGTTTTCAATGCAAAGTATAAAAGAAAAATTTATTTAAAATAACAATTGCATTAATTTATCAAAAGATAGGCAAAATAAAAAATGTTAAGCAGAATGGGCCATCAAAATTTCAATGTGGGGAGGAATAGAGTTAAAGTGTAGAGTTTTTTTATTTTTGCTTTTGTTTCTTTTTCTACTTTTAGGATCAAAGTTACATTACTATCAGCCAAAAATAACTTGCTAAAACTACAAGGTGTTTTTGTAAGCCTCATGATAACCACAAAGCAACAACCTAATAAATATACCAAAAATAAACATCAAGGAATCAAAATACACAACTAAAAACATCAGGAAACCACTAAGGAAAATAGCAAGGGAAAGAGTTAGGAAGAAAAAAACCATTAAAAAAATACAATGGCAATATTAAGATTTTGACGTCAATAATTTTCTTAAACATAAATAGATTAATTAACATAGAGTGACTGAATGAATTAAAAAAAACAAGATGCAGCTATATGCTGCTTATAAGAAACTCACTTCAGCTGTAATAAAATGAAGGGAAAGTAAAGGTATTTCATGAAAAAAGAAACCATAAAAAAGCAGGAATAGCTGTGCAGTTGACCCTAGAACAAAAAGAGTTTGAGCTGTGCAGGTCCAATTCAGTTTTTTAAAAAATAAATACTGTCAGCCCTCAGTGTCCACGGATTCTACATCTGCAACCAAAAATCGACCAAAATCTATTTTAAAAAATGACATCCTTTATAGAATTAGAGAAATTAAAAAAATGACACCCTTTATAGAATTAGAGAAAGCATTTCTGAACTGTGTATGGAGCCATAACAGATTCCAAATACCCAAGGCACTCTTGAACAAAAGGAACAAAGCTGTTGGTATCACATTAACTAATTGAAGTACATATCAAAAAGTTACAGTAACCAAAACAGCATGACATTGGCATAAAAACAGAGACAGAGAGCAATGAAATAGAATAGAAAGTCTAGAACTAAACCTATATATCTGCAGAAAACTGATTTTTGGTAAAAATGCCAAGTATACATAATGGGGAAAATATACTTTCTTTAATAACTGTTGCTGAAAATACTAGATATCCACTTGCAGAAGAATGACATTGAACCCTTGTCTCCTACCATATACAAAGTTAACCAAAAATGGATCAAGATTTCAATGCAATACCGGATACTACAAAACTACTAAAAGAAAACATTATAAAAGGCTCCCTGTCATTGACCTAGGCAAGAATTTTTGAAATAAAACCCCCAAAGCATAGACAACATAAGCAAATACAACTAGTGAGATCACATCAAACTAAAAAGCTTTTTAAAACAAAGGAAACAATTGATAGAGCAAAAAAATTGAACTATAGAATAGGAGAATATATTTGCAAACTATGAATCTGGTAAGGAGTTAATAGCCAAAATATATAAGGAACTCAAATAGTTCAGCAACAACAAAAACTAAAAAATAGGCAACAGATCTGACTAGAGATTTATCAAAAAAAGACACAAAATGGCCAACACATATATAAAAATATACTCAACATCACTAATCACCAGGGAAATACAAATAAAACCACAATGATATATCACCTTACTACATTCAGAATGACTACAAAAAAATCAAAGAATAACAAAGTGTTGGACAAGATATAAATAAATAGAACTGCTACACACTGTTGACGGCAATGTAAATCAGTACAGGCATTATGGACAACAGTCTGAAGGTTATCCAAAAAAATAAAAAATAGAACTACCGTGTGACCCAGCAATCCCACTACTGAGTATATAACCAAAGGAAATAAAATCAGTATGTCAAACATATATCTACACTCCTATGTTTATTACAGCACTATTCAGAATAGCCACGATAAATAATCAACCTAAGTGTTAGCCAACAGATGAACAGGAAAAAATGTGGTATATGTACACAACGGAATACTCTTCATTCATAAAGAGAAATGAACTCTTGTCACTTCAAGCAACATGGATGAACATGAGGAACATCATGGTAAGTGAAAGAAGCCAAGCACAGAAAATCAAATACCCTGTGATCTCAAGTGTATGCAAAATGTAAAAAATAGCATATAAATAAGTCAGAACAGTGGTTATCAGAAGGAGGTTATCATGAGGAGGTTAGGGAGAGGGGGAAATGATGAGATTAATTAACAGGTACAAAACTACAGTTAGATAGAAAAAGTAATTTCAGGTGTTTTATTGCATAGGAGCTTGATGAGAGTTAGCAATCATGTATTATATATTTTAAAATGCCCACAAAAACGGTTTTTTGAATGCTCTTTTTACAAAGAAATGCTAAATGGTGAAAGTGATGGATATGCTAATTACTCTCATTTGATTATTTAACAACTTATACATGTATCAAAACATATCGTACCACCTAAAAATGCACATGATCTATGAAAAAGTGAGAGAAAAGGAATTCACGCACATGTAGAACACCTTAGGCTAGATATTAGGAGAGCCCTTCGACCACCACAGCAGTGATGAAAGAGAATCCAGAGATTCTGGATGTAACTCAGTATGTCAATCTACTGGAAGACAATGAAGAAAACTTCGTTTGGATGGCTCTATTTTTCTCTGTCAGGTGGAGAAATGGGTCACCTGGTAAAAAGAAGATAATAGGGAGTGGGAAGTTTAGGAAAGGTGGAGGTTGAAATTCGTCATGTAGCATGGCGAAGCAAGTTGAGTTAGGCTACAAAGTGGGATTGTTGGGTACGACTGAAAAGAAATGTGGCATTTGTGAAAAGTATACTGACACATATGGGGTGATGATAATACTATAAAACTTTTGGGCTGCACGGGCTTTTCCAGCAGGGATCAGTAGCCCAAAGGCAGGCGGGGAGGCTTTTTTATTGAACTTTTTAGAAGTATGTGAAACAAATGGTAGGGAGGAAGGTGGGAAATCAAATACTGGTTAATTAAGACTAATACAACTTATACTGGAGAACAGGGAAGGAGAGAGGAGATTGGGCTAATGGACAATCAGAGGTGTAGCGCTGTGAATGTGTGTACCGAACATCCTGTGAGACTTTAAACACTACCATATTTAGAAAACTGTATCAACAAACTAGAAAGAAAGAAGCATGCAGAGGATGAGATGCCTGAGTTTTGATTGTGCCATATGTACAGAAGGTTACATAATATATAGCTCTTCTATTGTGATGATTGGTGGCCTAAAAATCCAAAGGAGGGGTGTAGATAAAATAACTCTCACCTTTGGAATAAGATATTCTCTAAACTGAACGTCCTGAGTCACCTCGTGGGGCATATTGGTGGGGATAAGGTCAATGTATCTTTGGATTTCGTGCACCACAGCATCTGTGTAGGGCATGTGACTTCTGTCCTGCATGCAGGGGCTCCGGTCTCTGCCAATGACACGGTCAATTTCGGCTTGAACGTTAACTGGGAAGGCAAGAATCAGAATTTATGTGAAATAAAAAAGACCTGAAATATCTTTTCTTTGATTCCATAATCATTGTCTCATTGTGATTGGCGATGGAAAGATGGACTAATGTGTTACTAGCGCCATAAGAAAAAAAAAAGAAACAAGGTTTTCATTTTCTGGGCAACTGGAAGCTCATTTGAGACTTAAATATAAAATACAGTTGAACCACAAAATTTATTTCTCAACTCTTATTCTCTAACTGATGTATTTTTCCTTGATAGACTAAAGAATCTGGGATCTTGAAGACTTGTAAAAGACCAGGTCGTTTAACCACTGTTCATATGTCCATTTTTGTCTTAAATTTATAAGTATCAAGAGGATAAGTACTACCCATTGCAGTCAATTCTTAATATGTTGAACAATATAATAATATTTTAGTTGATTCAACACAGAAAAATAAGTTAACATCTATTTAGAAGGTAATATATGACAGACATGTTGCACGATTCATTATATTACTTTATAATTCCAAAAAGATAGTGCTATATGTTGAGTATTGTTTTGTGTATTTTACAAAGAAACAGATCCAGTGTAGTAAATATATTTCTTAAAAACACCAAAGGAATATGTGGTCTTTCCCATATTATTCCCCCTAAACCGAGAAGAAATCAGAAGTACGGAGAGAGATCATGAGACTGAGGTCACACAGCTACCTATTAGTAGAGTTTGAATCTGAAACCACTACAGATAAAGCCTATAACTCATTTTCTGAAGTAGCAATGTCATGCTGATACTTTGGTCAAATGGTATTTATCAACTACCTGAAGAATGTGTCTTTGTAATGGAGCATGTGAAAATTCTGGGGCTTAATAGCAACAGAGAAGGAAAAGTTAGGAATTTCAGACATATTTTAAATTTCCCCTTCTCATGTTGAGAAGCTAGAGTTTTACCTAGAAGAAAGTGGTGATATAAAGTGCTGAGGAACTACTTAGAAAATTAGGGTGCTTAGTAGAATGGTACAGTGAGGGATGAAGATGAAAGGAAGAAAAAGAAACAAATACAAACAGTTATTAGAAAAAACCCAAATGGAAAATAAAAGTGGAAGTGAAAGAAAAATAGGACATGTGAAGGGTTTTACAAGGATTTACAGGTTTGGAAAAAATGTTATATACTCTTTCAAGTCATAGTCACATAGAGATTAAATCTTTTATGAGTTAGGGATGTTATTTGGTCACAGAAACACAGAAGCATGATATCTTGCAATGTGTACTAGTCAAGGAATTTTGAGGCTATGATTCTAAATTTCACTATTCAAAAAGCATCGCCTATTTATACTGGGAAAGCAGGAAGACCTTAAACAAATTGAAAAAACTTCCTGCTGATGTCATGGAGGTAAACTTCATGTGGTTTAATCAAACTAAAAATGTCTTGAATGGATATTGGAGACATAGAAGGGGAGGAGGAAAGGGATGATAAGATTTAAAAAATCACCTATTGGGTACAGTGTGCACAGGTGGGAATGGTGGATGCACTTAATGCCTAGATTTTACCACCATGTAAATGCAACCATGTAACCCCAAACTATTTGTACCCCTTAGAGCAATTGAAATAAAGAAAAAGAAAATGTCTCGGTGCACCAATTCACAAAAAATGATATAGTAATAAAGGAAACATCCTCTTAGATGAGGACTCAATTAAAAAAAAGCTAAAAAAAGAGAGAAATTGCATCTGAAAGAGAAGTTATGATAGAAAAATGAGTTTATCCAAGAGGGTAAATTATAAACTATTATTTTTAGTATGACTCTTTAACTGGTGAGTGAGGTTTTTTGATGAAGAAAGAGTATAATTTATTGAGTAAATCCCTACATTACAAATGTGTTGGGATAGAAATATCTTTTGACAAAAATACAGTTATCTGGATATAAAAGCATATCAAGTGGGTCCTTTTGAGAGAATGAGAGAGGTTAGTTTTTTCCAGGATTGTAAGACAACTGCTACTGCATCTGGCCTAACACAAGTCAAGGATACTACATCCTAGCTGGGAGAATAATGACATCTGCCTTCAAATCTCTGTTGTTCTTTCATATTTCATTATTGTTTAACACTACAGTCTAATTTGAATTGAATCTATTCAATGATACGTAGATGTACTAATGATGAGAAATGTTCATGTACATTATCTAGGCAGGTGAAGAATGAGGTGGTTATCAGTGTCTGCCAATTTCTACTTGGAATTTCATCTGTCCATCTCCTGTGATCATACCTGTGATCTCAGGGTGCTTCAGCAAGAGCAAAAGTCCATATCTCAGGGTGAGGCTTGTTGAATCCATTCCTGCAGCAAAAATATCCCATATGGTTACGATCATGTTGTCCATGGTAAATGCTGACTTTTTATTGTGTTTTTCCTAGAAATGATATGTCAAATACTTGATAAATAAAAGGCTTTTCAGATAACAGAAAAATATTCAATATAACACTAGTACTTAGGAACTCAAGTCAGATATTAGAGTATCCTACAGCTGAAGGCCAAGTTACATAAATTGTTAGGAATTCTTTAAACAGTGAAATTATAAACAGAGCTGCACACCTGCAGGCCTTTCTGATTTCTCCCTTTCTCACCCTCTAGAGCCATTCAGTCTCTTTAATGTCTTTCGAACATAGTTTTTATTAAGACATCCCTGCTAATCATTGTCAATTCCAGTCTTTACTGTCTATTTGATTATGTCTAAATTTCTCACTCAAGCCTCCAGACCTACTCACCCAAAACTACATTGCTATTTCAAACCCCATCAGTCATTATTCCACCATTGTTTCTCAATTTCAATCAGGATAACCTCTTTGAAAATTCCACACTCTTGAGTACTACACTTATTATTCTGAGGACACATTTGACCCTCCCTGTTAATCTAAGCCAGAGTTTCCTTAAAACCTACCTCATCTATGAAGATTTGCTAGAATTATTCCAAAAATAAGTCTTTCTGGATTCCTATCCATCTATTTTTTCCTCATTTGTTACATCATCCATTCATGGAACTTATTTTACATAATGTGATATGTTCTTTGTATTTGTGTTCTGATCTTACCCCAAATAGAGAATCAGCTTTTACATGGTAAATATAAAACCTTCTAAGCCTTTTTTCCAGCCAGTGAGAATTTAGAAATATCACTTGGTTTGCACAAGCAATAGTTTGCATAAGGAATGGATACACCTTTAGGAAGGAGCATTTGTTTTAATATCCCAGTTTCCCCAGGAATACCGAAGTGAATCTATCAGAAGTCACATCACCCACAAAGATAAGTAGCAAATCAGGGTCACATTATACCTTTTCCATTTTAATTAGGAAGTAGTCAATAAAATCCCGAGGGTTATTGATGTCCAGAGATTCTTGATGTTCTTTTACTTTCTCCAAAATAAACTTCTTTTGGGCAGCGAGGTTTTTAAGTAACTTCTTGAGACTTCCTGGGAAATATTGTAAAAAGGGGAAAGTATTGCAGAGCTGAAAGAAGAAATAATCCTTCATTAATTTCCTCAGCAATCATTTACAGGCAAGATACATGTCAAATACTTCGTTACGTGCTGAGTAGATAACACGTTTCCTGAGCTGAAACACAATTGGAATGTAACAGATACCACCAATAAAGTTGCCAGAGTTGCAGATGGCACAGGTTATGAAGCAAGTTCAAAGCCACTCACATTCATTTGTAACCATCATTCTCGACAAACCAAGACACCAAACTAGTGATATCGGAGCTAGAAACCACTGCTCATACCAGACTACTCACCACACATTTCTCCAGGAATGCCTCAAAAAATTTATGAAGAGTCATAATCTTTTGCTGTAATAAAGAAGCACTACATCCGAAAGATTAAGGAAGTGCCCAAATCACTTCACTTATTTTTGTAGTATTTAAGTCTTTTCTAACCTCAGGAATGTGCAAATTTACCTGAGTCATCTGGTCCTTGTGTTCAGCTACTCAGCTTTAGACAGTATTTTAATATAATGTAATGCCCTTGGAATACAGCAAAGCAACTAATTCAGGCTGGTAGCTTGATACAAAATCAAGAAATTTAGATTTAGAACTCGCTCATTCATTATCTTGTCTTGGCTACTTTGACAGGACGCGCATTTGCTCTGGGTCACATTTTCCTTCTTCATAAAAATGAGTATCGTCCCTCTCTTCTCTAGAATTCTCCTCAGGTGGAACACGTCATGACCTTATGATCTATACAGAATTTTAGTTGTTAATGATTGTACAGTGTAGTGTATGAACAGTGTGCCATAGTAAGAAATGCATTTCAAATCGCTACCCGCATACTAATAGATAAAAAAAATCAGAAAACAGGTTTCTCAAAAAACTCCCACAAAATTTACTACCAATGAAACGCTCTGATATTACATTTTCTGCCTATTCTACTTTATTTTTAAAATTTTATTTCAACATATTAAATTGATTGGATAACTCATGAATGGGTTAAAATAATAGTTGGATAGGCATTTCTAGGTCATTTTATTTTATTTTTATTTTTCTATTTTTTATTTTTTTTTGAGTTGGAGCCTCACTCTGTCACCCAGACTGGAGTGCAGTGGCCACTCCCGGCCACCGCAGCCTCGACCTGCTGGGCTCTGGCGATCCTTCCGCCTCCGCCTTCCAAGTAGCTGGAACTACAGGCGTGCGCTACCACGTCTGGCTAATTTTTTTGATTTATTGTAGAGACGAGGTCTCACCAAGTTGCCCAGGCGGGTCTCAAACCCACGGGCTCAGAGAATCCTCTCACCTCAGCCTCCCAAGGTGCGGGATTACCGGCTGAGCCACCGAGCCCGGCTTCTAGGCCATTTTAAATACGTAAGAGGAATGAGGTAGGCATGAGCAAACGATAAACTAGAACGTTTTTATTCCAAAAGAACCTTGACGTTACCTGCAACCAGGGACCGCTTATAATGTCAAAGTTTTCATGAAAATGCTCAATCAAGCTATGAAATTTCTGATCACTGTAGTCAAAACGATCCTGGAAAATGATAGAGCAGATCACATTGCAGGGAACACAGGCCAGGAGAAAAGTGGGATCACACGGAGATCCTAAAATCAATAGAAGTGAGAAGTTAGCACACCGCCTTCATATAAATCTTAAATTGGCTGTTTAACATAACTGGGAAGGGTTGACTTTAAATATTTTTTTTTAAGAACAGATTCTACCTGGACATGCTATAAGCTCTACATGCATAAAATAAAATGTATTGGATTTCCCAAACAAAACTGTCTAATCCAGTCTGGTTTATTTTTTAATTTTGCCCCAAGAAGACTATTTGCATCATTTTCAATTTTTTTTATTTACAAGAAGGATTAAAAGTTAAAAAAGCAATTTTAAAATATCTTAAATATCAGGCATGACGGTTTCATGCCTGTATTCCCAGCTACTCAGGAGGCTAAAGTGAGAGGATCGCTTGAGTCTAGGAGTTCAGGTCCAGCTAGAGCGACACAACTCCATCCTGAATCAATCTCTCTCTCTCCCCACCCCCCTCACCCTCTCTCTCTCAAGGTATGGAATTTAGCTCTTAGTGTAGATGTTTTCTCATGATGTCCACAGAAAACTAAGCAACCTAATAAGAGAAGCAAAGAACTGAAGAAACTTGATTGGTATTTCACAAAACACGGTTGAAAAAATTGTATGCTTTTCTTGTAGAAGGGACAAGTCATGAGAGGAATTAGAGTTATTTTATTCAGATATTTTAAAAAATATGCTATAGTTTTGGAAAGAGGCTTCCTATATCTACTAAAGAGTGTGATTCCATTTTTTAATGTTTTACCTCTGGAAATTTCGAAGCCTCACTCCTACCTCTTCCCCTCCCACCCACATCTGCACAAGCTGATCAAGACGCCCAAGTGCTCCCTCCTTTGGCGCAAGGAGGAAATCTAAGCCACACAGGCCCTGGCTTGCACACAGGATCCTCATTCCTGCCCCTTCCCCTAAGCACCATAAAAACCTCATCCTGTTATCCTTTCCCTGCTCTCTTACACCAATTTTGAATGTGGTTGGGAACCACCCTGCTCCTCACTGAAACCGGCACGGAGTAATAAAACTGTTGTATCCTATTGGTGTGTATGTGTGGCATTGTTAATATAAACAACGGAACTAGATTTGAGGTGACAGGTAGGTCCCTCCTGCCTCTGTACAGTGATCTAAAAGTAGAAATTTCAAGGAAAACAGTTTCTGCTTAACCTGAGCAAGAAACTTTCAACAGTTAGAGTTTTCCAGTGATGAAATGGACTTCCCAAGAGTGTGAAATCCCCATAAATAGGTGTAACCAAGCAGAACCTATTAGATCATAGATTAAGAAGTAGAGAGAAGATCATAGTAACCATGAAAAAAATGAAATCAGTTAAAAATTTCATCTTGAAATGTAAATTAAGTGCATAAAATCATTTCCCAGATAATACATATCAAAACCAAATATTCTTTGCTTTACTAATTCTTTTTTTTTTTTTTT